ATACATTCTACATACATACATACATACATACATACATACATACATACATACATACATACATACATACATACATACATACATACATACATACATTACATACATACATACATACATTACATACATACATACATACATACATACATACATACATACATACATACATACATATATACATATATACATATATATATATACATATATATATATATGTACATACATACATACATACATACATACATACATACATACATACATACATACATACATATATATATACATATATATATGTATATATATATACATATATATATGTATTTTCATATAATATGTCAAAGCCACAAACCAGCAAATCAACGGCGTGCACGGAGCCCATCCATGGCTGGGGTTCAGCCATGGAAAACCTCTCCGCGAAACCAAAAAAATGATGTCATCTGCCCAGATACCATTTCGCCGAGCACACGGCTCAGAAAGTCATCAGGCAGCAGGCTCTCTTGATACCTGCAGGGGTTTTCTTAGGGGTACCTAACTTCCGCTCAGGCCTGATGAGTGTTTCAACCAGCCAAAGTGCCTAAAATGTGAAACACGCTGGGGGTCAACAATCCATTTTAGGGGAATGGAAAACCGAAAATGGGAAGATTCGTGAAAATTATCTAGAAATGGATTGGTTGTTAAGCATTGATCCTTTTATCATCCTTTTATAGCTACCTTAGGGGTCCACTTTAGGGATTCCCGCAGGTCTCCAGTCCAGGCATGGCCTCTCGATCAACTTCCCTTCTTTGAAAATGCCAGAGTCTTGCGGTCCTCGGTCTTGCCGGTCATTTGAAAAAGGGAAATGGATGATCCATGGATAATCCCATTTAGGGGACTTACTGACTAGGACCCCTATGGATTTAATGAAATATCATGGGATTATGATTTAGTGTTGGATTTAATGGGATGTAATGGGATATATAATCAGCAATATGATAAATAATGAGGCAAAAATCTAATGCCATAAACCTATACCAATTGGGGATGATGGTTACCACTACCCATAAAAATGATGACTTGGGTATGGTTTATGGCATTGGCTATACATTACTCGACTTTCAGACAAATCCGTCTAATACCTTTCGTAGCCAGACTCAGAATGACATGTGAAAAAAATCAGAATCAATTCTCAGTCTGCCAGTTGCTTGTCACCTGATAAAAATATCAAAGACAAGTTATCCAAAGCATCTCACCATAACAGAGACCAGCAGATCGCTCGCTCACCGAGAGTCTCACAAAGCCCTCTGGCTCAAAGCGCAGACAAAGGCCATTCCTACTAGAGAGGCAGTATCTGGATATCGGTTGTCTTTATGGTTGCAATGGACACACAAAAATTGTTGGTCATCTTCATAGTTTTCATACCAAAAAGTGTGTTGCCAGGATGGTTTGGATGATATGTACCCCAGGTGTTCATCTTTTCTATCCATGACTGGGTTGCGGGCCAGTCTTAAACCACTTCCCAGGATCACGACCTTCTGGTTGGTGTGGCTTCAACCCCCCTCTGGAAAAAATCTTTCGTGGGGAATCATCGTCCCAATTCTGATTGAAATAAAAATCTGAAACAAGCAGCCCTCAGTTCGGAGTCCGTGTTGAACGGGGAGTTCACCAAATCATCACTGAAATTTCTCGGCGAATTGTGAATTGTTCCAGGATTGCTCTCAAGGAAGATTTTGACAGGAAACCCAGGGTATCATAGGGTGATTATAATCTATAGACTATAAACCAAACCCAATGTGGGTGTCTGGAAAATTATGGGAAAAGAAACCTAAATCACTCCGCTGGTTCATCCATATCCCTGGAAAATACTCTAAAATTGCCATTCAAACAGACCCACCATTCAGGCAAGCATCAGGGCCCCTCCCTGGCAACTCACAATCCAGCGCAAGTCCCCATCCAGGCCATAGCGCGCGTGCACGCCGTCGCCCACACGAAAGTTGGGGCGCTGGAAATATTCCGCGCCCAGTTCAGGTGGTCCCTGGAAAGGGTCGGAAAAAAACTGGCCCGCAAAGCTCTGGGTGGTTTTTTTGTTCACCTAAATGATCCCAAATGAAACAGTGAATTGTTTTTCAATGGATTTAACCAGCCAAAGTCTGAAAACATTGGGATTTCACATCCAGGTGAGCAATGTTCAAATCCTAGTCTCTTTTTGCTGCTTAGCGTTGTATTTCCCAGACTGGAATGCGGAAAACCCACCATGAGAGTAGATCTTTTTCCCAGGCGACACCATTGGTTTTCTACGTTTACCCTGAGGGTATTCCATTATTTCCATTTAAATCCCATAGAATCCATATAGAGTCCTATGAAATGCCATTCAATCAAAAAAAAACTGTAGATTCCTTTAAATCTCAGATCTGTTATCCCTAATCTTCCATACCCATCATTTTTTCAGCATTTTTCCCAAGGTTTCCCGTGCTCCACCTGCACCGGCACCAGCTTTCCCCGCGTCTCGCGCTGCGTGGGCAGCCTCCGCGGCTTTCCCAACGGCCACAGCGCAGCCAGGTTGCCGCGGCCGTGCTGCACTGCAATGCCCAGGCCGCAGGGGAACTTCACCTTGGATGGTTTCAATTCAGGGCTGAACCATGGGTGAAGCACCCAAAAGGTGGGAGCTTTCACCATAAATGGGATATTAACGATATGTTTTCACTATCCACAAATGGGAGGTTTCACCATTCAACAAATTGGATGGTAAGGTAACTATCCGAAAATGAGATGCTTGACCGTAAATGAAAAATGAATTCAACCATAGTGGTGTTGTGCTGTCAAAGATAGGTGACCGTGAAGGATTGGTGTTGATCACGCAAAACGGATGCTCAAACACAAGAATGGTTGTTTTAGAAATTCATGATGTCCAACAGGCAGAAAGTGGTTTTGAACAAACCAAAATTAATGGCCCATGGTTAAAAATGGTGTCATTTACAGCAACATCTGCCTGGAATTGTGGTGTAGACACAAGGGGGTAACCCTCGATTGTAACTCTAGTAGTCAACCAACCGGTGGGAAAAGGACATCGATGCTTTCTAGGACCTTGATCTGGCATGTGTCAACCTGCATCTGGCTGGGCTGGTTGTTGTCTTGAACGCTGCATATGGTCACTTGGAACGGCACAAATCTGCTCATTCGGAGACTCTACCTTAAAATACATTAAATCTGTATGATATTCATTGATATTCTATGACTATGTATGGATATGCAGACTCAAAGCTAGTTCATCGCGATGGGGTGTCATGAGATGCTGCCTCTCACCAACTTTGTCAATCAGGAACGTTTGTTTCTGAGTCAAATCCACTTGCCACAAAAGAAAGAGCCTGAAAGTATCTTCGCCATAGACTGTTGTTTCCCAAGGGTCTTTCAACATCTTTCAACTCTCCAACATTTAGAGCCACTAATTATCACTAATTATCACATCTTTCAGGCAGGGAAGGCGGAAAATCAATGTCAAGCAGCCACCGCGTTGGAGTCCAAAGCCGTGAAGCCCCGCAAACGATGTGGAAACCTGTCCTTAAGGCCCCAAGATCAGCCCCTCAAGGGTCCACTGAACATTTCTAGGAAAAACTACACAAAGACATCGGGTTGAGACTGGTAGCTCCCCATCTTTGAAAAGCAGTGGAATTTGAGGTACCCTCGATCGCTAGGAAATCCCCGAACTAGCCATGTAGGTTCCTCGTTCGCTGGGAACATCATCGCAATGATGGATTCTCCAGCCACGGCAATGATGACAACGGAGGGTGTAGCATCCAGTTGACTACCTGACTACCTACAAACCAACCTCGGGTTTGCCGTCACTAGTTGATTCATAACGCCATTTGGCATAGCGCAGACATCTATAGAACATTATTTTGATAGAGGAATATCTTTTTTTGTGGGGAGTATTCACCATAACTCTGACTTGGAATGAGCTCTCGGATCTATGAAAATCACTTGGTTGAATCCCCATCTGCCAGATGGGCTATGTTGGACCACTGATGTGTTCACGGATTTTCATCATCCCACTAGCTGGTATTGAGATCATGATGTATGTTACTGTATGTTTATGTTGGATCCATTCAAACTCCTCAGATATCACTGATGTATGTTGGATTTTCATGGATTTTCCAGAATCCTGATAAATCATGATCCCAGCTACCCATTGATCTTTTTGGGTACACCATTTCTGACCCCTTCGCTCCAGTTTCGCGCCATGTCATATCGTTACGGATTTACGGATTCCTGCGATGATTCTCTCATCAGGGTGCAGTTCACTAAGTGGATATACTTCATCATGGAGGTACAGTATATCCCAACAAACTTATGGGAGTTACTGTATTGAATCCCATAGTTATACCTATTAAGAACCAATAACAACCATTACCTACTAATCAATAATAACCATTACGACATATTCAGACCCATTGCGAACCAGTACGAACCATTAAGAACCATAATAATTATATACTAATAATATCTAATAACCATCAAAATAAGCATGATTAACCAATATTAACCAACATTAACCACCCCATTTTTTTCTCATCCCACCACGCTTTTTCGGCCCCACCCCATCCAGGCGACATGCCGAGGCACCGCATCAGCCAGGCGCATCACATCTTTCGTGCGATACGAATGGGGCGCCTCTAAAGAAGCCATGGTCGACACCAAAACCGCGGCGCACGGGGCGATGGCAGGAAGGAGATGTCACAGATGTCACCATCATTTTTTGTTGGTGTTTTTGATATTTTTTGATCCCAGGAAGTATCCCATCATATCCCCAATGTCAGTAGCGAATCACTGGAATTCTATGGAATTCTGTTTGTTGGTGCAGAAATGTCTTGGCGGTTTGAGCCAAGTCGCTGAGACTCTGGATGATGTAAAAGCCCCACTGGCAGATAAACCCAGAGACCGGGATATTTGATGATAGTGCAACATGTTCTACACTCTAATTGAACATAGTCATGGAATATCACCAATAGGTCAATCATGGAACTAAATGGGCAATGTGTCATAGCTATATGAATTTACTGGAGGGTAACCACATCAAGATCACTGCTTGTGAGTTGTGATACATCAATCTGGGGAAAATTCAAAACATGAAAAAAACACCGACCTGACAAAAAATATCTATCTCGGACCTAAAACTTTGGGACAAATCATCACCGAAATCCCAAAAAATATAATTCACTGAAAAAAATATCTATCTTGGCTAAACTTTGGGATAGCCCAATCCATTCACCATCTATCTAACCATCATTTCCGTCGCCGTCGGCTCTAGGTGCCGTGACTGGAAGCGGGCCACGGCGAAGTCGCTGGTCACGATCAAGGCATCCTGAGCCTCGCTGGCCGTCAGCCCCTTGGGATGGAAAAACCTCGGCGCTCGCCAGACCGATGGGAGGAAAACACATGTGGATATGGTGGGTCAAGTGTGGTTGATAGTGGTTAATAATGATTAATCATGGTTCATAGTGGTGAATAAGAATGGTTACTGGTGGTTAGTCATGGTTATATTCTTTATATTTTGTTAAACTCTTGTTATATTATGATACAGACTAACAATAACTAACAAACGAGGGTGTACTGATCTCCGCACAATGCCGTCCACCAAACATCTAAGGTTCCGACAGGGGCCATCTATCCACAGTCCTCGATCCAAATCCAGCTATGCATTAAAAACAAGCAGCAGAGCATGGCTTGGTTCCACCTGACCTTTGCAACGCATGTCATGACTCAATCCTGACTAGTTGGAGTTTCCCAATCATGCCAACACAAGCTTCCACACTAAATCTAAACACCAGTGCAAGCGTTTTATTTTCAGTTTTGATCCATTTTTTTATGTAACAGTATGTATTTTTGGTAAACCCCATCTGGTCATTTTTGGATCAATTGATGCGATGATCAATTAACGTGATAGCCTCGATCCCCATGACACATTGGAGCGATTTGGGAGCTTCGTCTCGTGTCTTATAAGATATGGAATACGTGTCATTGCTCAAAGGCAACCCAAAGATAGAAAAGTACATTCCTACTTAAATAGTGACAAATGAGGTTTCTATCTTTTCGTGGAATACTATAATAGATTTGAATTTGAATAGTATGAGACCATCCATCTTTGAGAAATCAACCACTTCGAACTCGTCCCTCTGATGATTTTGGGGTCGGCTTGGTCATTTACCCAGGATTGATTCGGATTGATATCCCTTTCTTCATGGTCTGGTATGAATTGATCACCTACACATCAATTCCCCAGTTGAAATGCCATGTGTTTTTCACACTTCCCAAGTTTAAAGCAGCTGAAATCCCATGTATTTCATGTGTTTTCCCAAGGCTTTCCTGAAAAGAAAATCTCTTGGCAGCCCTGAAGTCCCAGTTACCACTCCGTCACGCGTAGCACGGGCACGGGACGCTTCGGCTGCGTCGCCAGCGGCGGCACATGCAGCCGCAAGGCGAAGGCCAAGGAAGTGCACGAGATCAAGGCGCCAAAGAGGACCTGGTGGCCCTAGTTACACTCCAATCACTAGGGCCACTGACGGCTTGTGGGGGGGTATATCGAACTATATCGAACTAGTTCATGGGGGTTATAAAGCGATTTAAAGATTTATAACTGGGGGATAGCACCCTGTGGTTGTGACCAAATGATCCAAATGTGACGAATGGTCGGGGAGTTCTGGTGCAGAAATATGGCTCTGATAGCATGGCAGATACCATGGCATACCCCAAATCTGTGTAAAATCATGATGAGCCATCAAACCTGTGCAGGGTGCGCTACTTTCAGACAAAGCCAGATGGGGACCTAAGCAATCCCCATCTAGATTTAGCAATGTTTTTGCAATGGTTTAGCAATGTTTTGCCCATAGAAACATAGGGGCAATGTTGAGAATGGATGGATGTCAGCAGAAACCGAGGCGTTCACCACACATTGTGTCGCTGGCCGAATTCGAGTCGGGTTTCTATAGTCCTGTCGCCCAAGCAGCACAAAAAACCCGGGCTTCATCTGGTTTCGGCCAAAGATGTTACCACTTCACCCGCCCTATATCATTTGGGTAAAAACCGAAGTGCGGAGCAGGGTTTACGTTTTCGGTGGTAAACCAACATGGCAATGTAAAAATCGCCAGGGATCCAACATCATCCGACTGCCAGTCCACACAAAACACCAGGTGAACGTTGCCACTGTTCACCTTAAATCCATCATATCCTGGTTGAGTGCGTGGATTCAATTGCTGAATTGTAAGATGTAATACCCCCCAATTAAATCAGTTGGGTAACAATTGGTAACAATCATTTTTTTCACTCCCTACCGACCAACCAGAAATCTTAGTATACATAACCTGATCAATTGCTGTGACCCCCCAGTCTATGAGCACCCAAGCGACATACCATCACAGAAATTAATTACATAACTAAGATCAGTCGCTCCACCGCTTCCAAGAAGCTGTTTGAAGGGAAATGCTCGAGAATTTTCCCTTGTTTTTCTGACGGTGTAAAAACCATGTCACATTCTCTAAAATTCCTACTCACTACCCCATCCATTTATCAAAAACCTGGCGTTTCCCAGTCCCACGGGGTCCCATGGGCTCCCATGGGACCAAAATTTCCTCCATATCTTCCACCATCACCCGGTAGTGGTGCTTCTCCGGATAGGGTTTGATGAAGATGGTGAAGGCTGCCACTATGAAGGGCGGCAGGAAGATCCCCAGCCGCGCGAACCAGGCCATGGGATGGTCCTGGTGGAGATGATAAATATAGAACTATGACTAGACAGGAGAGCTAGAGAGAGAGAGAGAGAAAGTTTAAAAATTAAAACAAAAACAAAAAAAACGTATATGTATATACAGTACTATATATATATACATACATACATACATATATATATATATAATGCATATACGAGTTACATACATATTGTATGCATATATACATATATTCATATATCATGCATAGAATTGAACTAAAGATTGGGAGAAGCGATTAACCATCACTTTTGTTAGTTCGCGGAGAGCCGTCAAGGCAGTGCCTTGGGAGATTCGTCCAGTGGAACTGCCCTGCCGGGTTTCATACGTAAATTTGGGATCGACCAGGAAGTTATATAATTGGAGGTCTCTTAAAATAGGGGTACCCCTAAATCATCTTTTTTTAAAATTTTGGGCTTTTCCACTATAAACTATAAACCATCCATTTTGGGGTATCACGGTATCACGATTTATGGAACCCCCCAATTGGTGTTGAATCAGCCCGATAACAAACAATCTTGGTATGTACAGTATGTGCATGATTGTGCATGTGTGTCTATATCATTGTCTGATAAACTTTCCAAGGTACTCGGACCCGTTGATTGCTGGGTTTCTGTTTAGTGGTCCAGCGCTCAAATTCAGATTGGCTCCTCATAGACCTCCAAACGCAGTTGGATGTGATACATAATGCAAAAGCCTGGGCAGGTGCTGGAAAAAAAACCTCTTCACATCCCAGCTGGAAATAAAAAAGTGATCCTAATCACCAAATCAAAATAGTGAGTTGACCAAAAAAAACACCATTTCCCAATGGTACATTATTTTTCGACCTGTTTTCGTCATGGGGAATTCCCGTCACCATAAGTCTCGTCCAAGGAGCCCAGTGACATCAAGGTAAAGAGGCTTCCCCCAAAGACTGTATCCTTGGAGCTTTTCGCTATGCAACTCTGCGGCTTTTCTGAGAAAAATTGAAGCAACAATGATGAATGGGGATGTGACATGAGTTAACCCAATGATGGATTGATCTGATTTTTTTGGGGGAAATCATGGGTGTTTGCCTCAAAATACGCTATTTCCTGGGTTTCCTGCAATGTTTCCCTGCAACCAATGCCGGGAATTGTCACCTGCAAATCAATTATCAACACAGAAGATATACTACAAGTGGGAAATCCCATACCAGCCCGTTGCAAATCCGAAATGGTAATCCCATGGTTGGTTTCTCTTAGAATCCCTTGTGGAATCACAGTTTTCAATTGTTTTTTCCATCAGGAAAATATGGGTTTGCCTAGAATCGGGGGGGGGGAAAAATCATGGTTTACCATCATGTCCTTGTTTCGATTGCCATACATGGATGGTAAATATCCCCCATATCTTGGAAAAAAATGCCACTTTGCCCAAGTATCATGTGCTTGGTTCTCATAGAGTTCCAAGGCTTTCACCTGGTGCCGGTCTTGGTTTCCAAAGGTTTCCAAAGATCCTGAAGCAAAAATGAAAGTCCAGTGGGAATCATCATCGTCATCATCATCATCATCATCATCATCAGAATAGTAACAGTGTGTCAATATGTGTCAATATGTGTCAATATGTGTCAATATGTGTCAATATGTGACAATATGTGTCAATATGTGTCAATATGTGTTATCATTATACACTTACAATATGATATGTATATACTATCATATATATATATATGAGTGTATATATATGTGTGTGATAGTTGCAATATGTTACAATATGTTACAATCATCGTGATAACAATAACAATGAGAATAACACCAATCATCATTCGCCAATATTATCCCATCTACTGGGATAGAACACAAGTTTGAAACCACCAGCCAGAGAATTGTAGTAGTGTTTGTTAGTATGCCCAAAATCTATGTGCAAGGGATCATCTCATGAAATATTAGTTGCTTGAAATTTTCCCTACTTATGGGTTATAATCATCCCCAATAACCCCGGTAGTATAACTCACCATTAAAAAAAAGGGGAGTATACCCCATTATAGCCATTATGTGATATTAAATGGGGGATGATACAACTCCTATCCCATTGTAAATGTATGTAAATGTCAGACATATCATATGTTACATTACTACTTGGAAAAAATATTAGACTTTAATGTGTTTTGTTATCATCTCCCACTATAATGACTAATCAAGCAAGGTATTTTCTTCATGGCTCACGGCAGGAAGTTGCAGGTTGTTATTTCAATTTTGTTCTCCCAAAAAAACTCCTCGATTGTCATTGAAAAGGATCTAGGAGTTTTAAAAATTCATTATGTAAATTAAACGAGTTTTAAACATTAAAAATTCTACGAATTTAAAATTTTGCACTATGGTCATCCTCATGTTTCATCTCCGACCCGCCTCGGGCATCTTGCTGAGCTCCGTGACATGGACTAATTCTTTGGGTCGATGCAGTTGCTCCTCCCTGGGAGAAGCAATGCGATCCACCCCTTGGCTCGTGTCTTTCCTGCAGCGTGGGGGGAGCTAGGAAACAGTCAACAACTACAGTCTACAGTGTAACTCCATTGGAAGTGGATATCCGGGGACGTACTCTAAACTAGTTACTAACGTTAATAACGAGTCACTGACTTCAGGGAACGTCGCGGTTGGAGGGCATCCCAGGCAAATGGTTGAGATCCCTTGGACACCGAATTCAAGGGGTTATCCCAATCACAAGTTGTAGCCATACCTTCATACCAAAAACGTACCAAAAATTTCAAGAGGGATGATCCTGCAAGTAGCAGCCACACCCAGAGGAAATCCATCTATCTACATCTATCGTCAGTTCTGCCCCACGGCGCCATGACCCAACCAATCAACCGTCGGAACATGGCCACCGGACACTGGGGATTTGCTGGATTTGCGACCCTAGGCGGACGAAAACTCTGCGGTACCGCAACAAAGTGTAACAAAGATGGACGAAGGGATTTGGGTTTTTCCATTTGTGTGTATACTTGCCACTTCAACATCTGGGAACGCTGCACAGTTGAGAATTCAAAAAAAAAATTGTGGTGTGGATATCATACCGGAAACAATCCATTTGTTGCTCTCCTCGATCTGCAAGTCTATTCCGCATCTCTCCAGCATCGTTCGTGGTGTTTCCCACCCGCCCACGTTTTTCACCATATCTTTTTTTGGTCATGTCCGAATGTTCTATCAACCGACCGCGATTATGTGTATGTGTTGTGTATAATAGAATGTAAACATATATATATACTGTAATAGATAAATTATTATATGTATAATATGTAATATTAAGAAAACTGATTTAGTATACAATAATAATATATAATATCATATAATATAACACAGCATAATATAAAATAATATAATATGACATAAGATTAAAATTACTTTGCTTCGAGTGATCCCCACCATGACATTTATACATTTTCTTACTGGCAAATCTTCTGGCATTCTATCTGACATATCTTCTGACATTCTATTTGGCATTCTATCTGGCATATCTTCTGGCATATGATCTGGCATATCTTCTGGCATATCTTCTGGCATTCAATCTGGCAAATCTTCTGGCATTCTATCTGGCATATCTTCTGGCACTCTATCTGACATATCTTCTGGCATTCAATCTGGCATTCTATCTGACATATCTTCTGGCATTCAATCTGGCATTCTATCTGGCATATCTTCTGGCATATATTCTGACATATCTTCTGGCATTCTATCTGACATATCTTCTGGCATATATTCTGACATATCTTCTGGCCTATCTTCTGGCATATCTTCTGGCATATCTTCTGACATATCTATCTGGCATATCTTCTGGCATATTTTCTGGCATTCTATCTGGCAAATCTTCTGGCATTCTATCTGGCATATCTTCTGGCATATTATCTGGCATATCTTCTGGCATATATTCTGACATATCTTCTGGCATTCTATCTGGCATTCTACTTGGCATTCTATCTGGCATATCTTCTGGCATATCTTCTGACATTCTTTCTGACATTCTTTCTAAATTTCTTCTGCACATTCTTTGTCCCATATCTTCCTACATGAGGTCCGGCTGCAGGGAACACTTGGCGTGGATACTCGCGGTTGAGGTCCGGCAGGGAACACTGGGCGTGGATGGTCGTGGTTGAGGTCCGGCAGGGAACACTGGGCCCGGATACTCGCGGTTGAGGTCCGGCAGGGAACACTGGGCGTGGATACTCGCGGTTGAGGTCCGGCAGGGAACACTGGGCGTGGATGGTCGTGGTTGAGGCCCGGCAGGGAACACTGGGCGGGGATGGTCGTGGTTGAGGTCCGGCAGGGAACACTGGGCGTGGATGGTCGTGGTTGAGGTCCGACAGAGAACACTGTGGATCGCGGGTCGCAGTTGGACGAGGAGGACGACGAGGAGGAGGAGAGGAGAAGAGGAGAGGAGGAGCAGGCAACTGACATAAAATCTAACAACCCTCACCTGGCAGGTGGGGAAATATATATAATATAAAACAAAAAATGTAATGTATATATAATACATAAGATACCATGATTGAAAAAACACAAACCAAAAATAAAATATAATAATAATGTAATTTAATGTGTTATCAGATTAAAAATAAATGTAATATGGAAAATTTACATGTAAAAAAATCTTGTGATATAAAACTCAAATATAAAATACAATGACATAATATGATATAATCAAATATAGTAAATAATAAAATAAAATAAAATAATTTTAAAAAAGAATCTATAATACATTTAAAAAAGTACTCTACACAAGAAAAAACAATATATAATATACAATGAAGAAAAATAATATATAATAAAGATATTTTATTCAAAGTCGAATGTAAAAAATGATAGTATATAGTTTACAGTACAATAAAGATATCTAATTATAAGAAATATAATAAAATATAATGTATAAAAAGTGATATATATTGTAAATACTTTACAGTAACAAAAAAATCCGATATGTATATATAATATGAATAATTCATATATATATATATATATAGAGCAAAAAATAAAAAATAATAATAATAATACAAATTAATCTAATATAATATAATTTAATTTAAAAATATAATATAATATAATATAATATAACGTAATATAACGTAATATAATATAATAAAACTTAATATAATATAATATGATATATTATAGTATTTATCTTTACACACAATTACATACAAGGTTCCGTTTCACGCCGGACTTCCATGTGGTTATCAATCGCCTAATCGGCAGTGAATTACATGGCCACATGAACAGTATCAACTTGGTATAGGTGGATTTCATGGGGTGTACTACTGTGTAGCCCCCCCAAACTTCGTCACTCCGCATCCCCACGGCCAATCTTCGAGACTAAGCACCAAAAAACTGAACTTTCTTACCTGGTTGACTTCTTATTCCTCCAAAATTGCACAAGACTCACAACACACATCTACCCTTCACCAATCAATTTACCCAGATACTTGACATGTATTTACACCAAAAAACCATGGTTTACCATGTTTTTCACATGTTTTGCGGAAGTGATCCTGATCCTGCGCACCTTCAACTCCAAGGTCAGATAGTCCAAAGAAAGCACCCCCTCCGACGGAAAGTGTTCCAAGTCTTCGCCATCCGAACCGTTTAAGCTACAGAACTCCTGGGCAAAGAGATTCCAGGGTCGCCGCATGCCAGGCCAAAATTGATTTATATATAGAGATATCTAAATAGCTATATATCTATAAGAATATATCTACATATCTATTTATATATATATGTATATGTGTAAACATATTGATACATCTATATATTTACATACCTATCTATCTATCTTTCGTTCTTTCTTTCTTTCTTTCTTTCTATGTATCTATTTATCGAAATATCTATATACCTGTATATATATATATATCGATATACAGTCCCAGCACTGTAAAAGAATTCCTTGTATAAGAAAATCAGGGGCTGGATTTGTTTCTCGCTTTGATGTTTGTGGAATGTATATGGAAATGGAAACTAAGAAATTGAGGGACCCTGGAATCTTCAAGCCTAAGAAGTTTGGATGTTTGCAAAGAAATTGACTGTCACAAGAGCAGGGTCAGGCTCAGAAGAGCAGTTGGCGCCCTGGAAAGGCAAACAAACAACCCCTAGCAATTGAGGGACTGGATTTCTTAGCCATGTATTGAATTCAACCCCTTACCCGGCAACCTCTCCTCTACACAAGGCTCTCACAAACCCTTACATGTTAAGAAATTCAGGGGCTGGATTTCTTAGCCAAGTATTGGGTTTAATACTGAATTTAACCCTTATCCGGTAACGCATCTCCTCTACACAAGGCTCTTCAAACTCTTGCATAGCTAAGAAATCCAGCCATGTGTTGATTTTAGAGACTAGCCTTTACACCTACCCCGTGAAAGAACTGGTTCCTACTCCTACCCTGTGAAACTGCTGGTTCCTACGCCTAAGGTTCCGGAGACTTTATGAAAATCTATCTGCTCTTGTGTTGTGCCCTCTGATTGACTTTAATCTAGATTTGGAATTTGGAGCATGTTGGGAATCTTGGGTGTGTCATTGTATACTACATCAAGAAATTGCTAAGAAACTGAGGGACTCTCGGCCGATTAATTGCACATACATGATGAAATACATGGGCCCTTTCCCTTAAGAAATTGAGGGACCCTGGCCATCGGCAACCAACATTCTTATAAAACGTTCGCGCTGTATCTATATATTTATATATCTATATATCTATCTATCTATATATCTATCTATTTATCTATCTATCTATCTATCTATTGTTCTTTCTTTCTTTCTATCTATGTATCTATGTATCTATATATCTATGTATCTATATATCTATATATCTCTATACCTATATATCTTTATATCTATATATATTTCTATATATCTATATATCTATATATCTATATATCTGTATATCTAAATTTCTATATTTCAATATTTCTATATATCTATATCTCTATATATCTATATATCTATATATCTATATCGATATATCTATATACCTATATACCTATAAATCTATATATCTATATATCTATATATCTATATATCTATATACCTATACATCTATTTATCTATATATATATCTATATATATATATATATCTGTATATCCATAGGTCTAAATATCTATATACCTAAATATCTATATATCTATAAATCTATTTATCTATATATAGCTGCAATAAAATGGTGATTTCACCTCCAAAACTGGTTTTTAAACTAGCAAGATCGAGGGCCTTCGAAGCTAAACATGTGAGAATGGCGAAAATTGGGAGCGTTCAACCTGCATGAGAGGTTAACAAGCAAAATCCGCAGGTTTTACTAGCATAAATTCAAGTGTCTCAGCCAACAAAAATGGTGAGTTCATTAAGTCACTATTAAGAAAAAAATGGTTGCAAAACTGGAAAATATGGCTAGGTTTCCAAATTGGGGTAGCATTCTGAATCCAGAAATAAACTGGTCATGTTTAGGATTTGAAACCATCTACCCTCCAGCAATTCAACTTGGCAGTAGCAAATTATCCAGATCATCGATATGCTTCTATTGACAGTTGGAGCTGTCCATCGCAGCGTTCAATTCCCATAGGGTAGTCCAATTGATCCTAGTGGTAAAACAGTTTGAGCCGCGTCATTGGACTTCTCTTTTTTGGATGCCCCAAAAAGACCTAGACCCCATGGCAAACCACTCACTTGCGTCTCTGTCTCGCTTGCGTCTTCTATGTATGTTGCACTTGCGTCTCGGAAACCGCTCACTTGTACCTCAGGCCTTCTGCTCACATCACGTTTTCATGGGTGGGGGTGGGGTGGGGTGGGGTGTGACAACGTCCTTTGGCTTTAGGCACAGGGACTATATCCTAACGCTCTGAAATCTTCTCTTGCATTTCCACACATATGCTACGCTATGAGATCTTCTCTTGTACTTCCACACATATGCTACGCTATGAGATCTTCTCTTGTCCTTGCACACCGACATGATGCCACGCTATCAGATCTTCGGCCAGACTAGACAGGGACACCGCAGAAGCAGGAGTCCACCCAAGAAGCCCACGAGGCAGCAAGACAGCAAGATCCTCAACTTCCTCAACCCCCCACCTTCTCGATGTTGAGGCGGATGATGTCGAAATGATGATGGTGATGATGATGATGTTGGTGATCAGGAGGAGGAGGAGGACAATGACGATGACGATGACGGTGACGGTGACGACGAAGACGACGACGACGACGACGGCGGCGGCGGCAGCAACGACGACGACGACGACGACGTCGACGACGACGACGACGTCGATGACGACGACGATGATGACGACGACGACGAAGACGACGACGACGACGACGACAACGATGATGATGGTGGTGGTGGTGGTGATGGTGATGGTGACGATGATGATGGTGGTGATGGTGATGGTGGTGGTGATGATGATGGATGTTGATGCTGATGATGATGATGATGGTGATGATGATGATGATGATAATGATGATTATGATGATGAAGGACGACGACGACGACGACGATGATGATGGTGGTGGTGATGGTGATGGTGATGATGATGATGATGATGATGATGATGAATGATGAATGATGGATGATCATGGATGATCATGGATGATCATGGATGATCATGGATGATCATGGATGATCATGGATGATCATGGATGATCATGGGTGATCATGGATGATCATGGATGATCATGGATGATCAAGGATGATCATGGATGATCATGGACGATCATGGATGATCATGGATGATTATGGGTGATCATGGGTGATCATGGGTGATCATGGATAATAATGATGATGGTGATGATGATGATGATGATGATGATGATGATGATGATGACGGTGATGACGATGACGATGACAATGATGATGAATGATGGATGATGGATGGTGGGTGACCATGAATGATGGATGGTAGATGATCATGGATGAGCATGGATGATGATGGAGGATGATGATGGTGATGATGATGATGATGATGGTGATGATGATGATAATGATGGGTGATGAATATAAATATTGATGATGATGATGATGATGATGATGATGATGATGGTGATGATGATGATGGTGATGAAGATGAAGATGATGATGATGATGATGATGGTGATGATGATGATGATGATGATGATGGAGTCACAAGGGAGAAAATTTTGGAGCCACAAGCGAGACACCGCCCGACCCCATGCGGTGTACAGTTGTCAAACTTGTCAAAAGCTGGGGACGTGTATTTCGGGTTCATTAGACTGTCACTCTCTCTCTTTCATGGCTTTGAAACCAGTTTGAAATCAATCTTAAATCAAAAGGGTTCAAAGGGCATGTAGAAAGATCGGCACTGGAAGACTTCCGCTCCTCCCTTTCTTCATCGGAGCACTGGCAAGATGGCTGCTTGAAGCCTGGCAATCACCCAGGGGCCCAGGCTACGACGGCTAGGGCATGACTCTGTTTCGGAACTAGAAAGCGAAACAGAGATCACTAGCAGCACAGGAATGTATTCATTCGTATACAGCACAGGTCTGCTGTAAGGAGTCTAGGCACCTGTCTCCATTGCTGAATGAAAGCGATAAAGTATATACCAGTAATCGCGAATGTTTGCGCGCCCGCTGTTTGCTGAAGTTGAACGTTCAACCTTCATTCTGAACAAGTTCTGGAGAAGGCATGTCCTTCAACTTGCAGCTCTTTCCCTGGTGGTGGTTTCCTTGTCTATCCTGGTGATAACCTCCACTTCAATGCATAAGAATTAGCCCATCTGATCCCATTTGTAAATGATTTAGCTTTACAAGTCAGGCTCCCTGGCAGAATCCTAAAATCTTGATTTCTTCTGCATTCCCACTGCTTTCCCTTACTGCGTTCCTATTGCATGTCCCTGGGAGAAGTGCATTCCTAGTGCGTTCCCTTTCTGCATTCCTAGACCATTTCCCTCGGAAATGCGCATTCCTAATGCATTCCCTTACTGCATTCCTAGTGCATTTCCCTGGGAACAGTGCATTCCTAGCCCGTGTCCCTGGGAAAAGAGCATTTGCAGTGCATTCCTAGCGCAAATCCCTGGGGAAAGTGCATTCCTGGTGCATTCCTAGCGTATTTCTCTGGGTAAAGTGCATTAGGAAATGCACTTCCAGAATGCATTAGAAACACATGTCCGTTTCCAGAATGCAGCTGGAACACAATATCCAATTTTATCATCTTCAGACATGCACTTCAGAAATACACTAGGAATTCACTAGAAATGCAGGAAAAACAAACGACCTTGACTTCTGCCCCTCACTTTCTTGTAAATTTAGCTACCAAAATGGTGATTTTCCATAGCGAACTGTTAGAATACTCACTAATATCTCATTAAATCCACTTAGATCCAATTCTTTATGGCTGGCTGTATCCCCATTATACCTCCATTTTTAGGCTAGTTGGTGTTCTTTTCCTGACGCGGTTCTTTCTGATGTCGTTCTGCCAAAATTCCCTGTCGCGAAAGCGCCAAACAGCCGACCTGGTGGCCCTGGTGGTAGCGCAAACAGCCGCGCCACGAGACCCACAACGGCGCGCCCAACGGTTGCGAGGCGCCATTCTGTTGCGACTCGCTCCTGGCAGCGACGGATTTTTTAAGGTTTTGGACGTTCATCAACCCATTTGAAAAGGAATGAAAATAACAAATTTAAATATGTAGGTATACTATGTGCATATTTCAATATATATATATACACAAAGATATTTACATAAATCAACATATATCAACATCATCATCATCATCATATATATATATATGTCATCTATAAATATATATATATATTATATATATATATACATATGTATATATATATACATATTTATATATATATATTCTAATATATTTATCTATACATACATATATATATATATACGTATACGTATATATATATACATATATATACATATACATATATATATATACATATATATATATATATATATACATATATATATATACATATATATATGTATATGTATATATATACATATATATATACGTATGTATATATATATATACGTATACATATATATATATATATTCTTTATTTATTTTTTAATTTATTTATTTATTTGTTTATTTATTTATCAATTTATCTATTTATTTATCTATTTATTTATCCGTTTATTTGACTGCCATGGTTCCGTGCCAGACTCGTGGCACATGGGTGAAACCATGGGCATGCGACGGCGATACTCAAAATTGACGGCTTCTTGCAAGTCCCAACAATTTGTGATTTTGTTCCACAATATTTTCGAACGTTCCTCTTTCATTTTTTCCCAAGCATATCTACTAGTATACAATAGCCACTGGGGCCTGGGACCCCCCACTCTTCTTTTCCCAACATTGTAGTTGACCGCAGGATTACGTTCATAACTAACTCTCCTCAAGGGATCACTGTTGTTCGATCGCAAAATGTGTCCAGCAAGCTTCACTCGCCATTGTTTAGTAAATCCGAGAATAGTTTTATTTTGCTGGGTGTCCCAGGTGTGTAGCCAATTTCTTCATTTGCCTTTTGCGATACATGTTCGTTTGCATTTGAACGGTTGACACAAGTTGTGCTGAGACCCAAGATTTTACGTAGGCCCCGCAATTGCAATGCATTCACCTTCCTTTGCTGCGTTTGTGTGAGGTGTACGGTCTCGAGTCCATAGAGAAGTTTGTTTCTGAGAATGGCATCATAAACTTGCAGCTTCCATCTATTAGAACAAACTGTTGTCTTCCAGAAGGTGTCCAACTCAAACCACATTTTCAATGTCTGGTGCATTTTGTGTTGTATCTCGTGTTTAACGTCCATTTCCTGGGTGATTTGGTGTCCAAGGTGGGTCGTTTCTTCCACTCTGTTCAATTTCTGTCCGTCTGCAAACTTGATCACGTTGCTGCCGTTCACAGAGATATAACAACATTTGTTCCTATTCAAATGTGGGCCAAACTGTTTTGAAACTCCATCAACTTCAGCCAACCATCTATTCGCCGCCGTGGCATTGGTGGAAATCAAACAGTGTCGTCGGCATAATAAATTATTTGGTCAGGTAATTTGTTGGGATTTCTCCTCTGGTATGCAGTTTCTAGGTTCAAAGCCACATCTCTATTCACGACGGACATAAGTAGTACGAATAGGTACGGCGATAGTGGGCAACCTTGTCTTATTCCGGCGGACTGAAGCTTTGCGGTTGATGTTCCATATTCATCCTCAACAAAAAAGGGGGCTTTAGTGGAACAGTCCTTTAGTACCTCGATGAAGGTGTCATGAATTCCTAGTCTACGTAGTGCTATCAATAAACGACAGTGCTGAACCTTGTCAAATGCCTTCTCTCAGTCTAAGAAAGTAATTATCATGTTGGTACCTTTTTGTTCCGATATATCTTGTACCCTACGGGTGAGGTAAATGGCTTGAGATGTGCTGCGGGATGGTCTGAACCCATACTGTGTGTCACACAAGTGTTCCTCAAGACGTCTTGCATACGGTTTCTAGTCATGATCATGTAAATCTTATAAACAGAGTTCAATAATGAGATAGGTCGATAGTTTTCAGGCAGGTCGGTGTTTCCCTTTTTGAAGATTGATACAACCCTTGCAACAAAGACATCCTCTGGCGCACACTTGTGGACCCACCAATGACTGATCAAGTTTAGTATCCAAGTCCGGTTGTTGGAATCCATCCACTTGAATAATTCCATCATTAGTCCGTCCGGTCCTGCTTGTTTGTTGTTCTTGGTTGTTCTTAGCGCAGATTCATACTCTTCAAACGTGAAACGTTCTGTGCTGAATTCACGCTGCAGGGCGTGTATGGCATCATTCCTTTTGATTTTGTGGATGTCAAGATTACTCCAATGTTTTCTCTCTAGATATGTCGCTATGGTTTCAGCTCTATCTTTTGGGGGGACCAGGGTACCATCCAGATTTCATACATATATATATGTATATATATATATATACAAATATTTATAGATATTTATACATATATAATTACAAATATATATATATATATATATACATATGTACGAATACGAATAATTACGCATATATATATACACACATATGAATATATATATATATACACAGTATACATATTGGTAAATATATATATATATACACAAAAATGTAAATATATTAATGTGTATATGCATATATATATATACAATGACAAATATATACAGTACGTGTCTATACATTCCTTTGAAATCACCAGCCAGAAGAACTTTCAGTTCAAGCTGACGGTAGGTGAATGCCTCTCGACGCCGATTTCGAGCTCTCCAGCGACTTTGCAGGCTGTCGGCAAAAGTGTGAGGGCCTAGTCGTGGAAGTTGGATGATCTGCTGGAAATTCAGTTCGTGGGGAAGCACCATCAAAAATTGGGTGATGTAATGGGTTTATGGCACCCGAATGCAGGTTTGATTGGCTCGACTCACTGGCTTTGATTCTTCGGGAAAATCAGAGCGAACCCGTTCAAATTTAATGCAGATTTGTGACGTTTCTCCTCAATATTTTATCTTAAACCATTTCAGAGCTGGATGGGGAATCTTCAAGAACTGCCTTGTGCCCTGGAACATCAGTGCAGCTGTAACGAAGAGGAGTTGCACATGATATATTTCGGGATGTTTCGGGAAGAGGCAAACAGAACTAGAGAACATCCTACAACTTCAACAGTCCTACAGAGCTTTGTCAATTGCAAAAACACTTGCAAAGATTTGCAAAAAAAAGTTCATGGGTCAGCACGTCAATCTAAACATGGTGCTGCCGCTGCTCCATGCGTCCGCGGCAGTCCGTTGCAAACCTTTACCACAGGATCGAAAAATCATGTTGAGATTTTCTCTGCCTGGCAAGACAGTCTTGGAAGCGCAAAATACGTCTAACCTATCTTGTCCCTTCAGGGAACATCCAATTTGGTATACTATTTATGATCATCTATTGGTTGGTTTTCACAGGGGGACCCACAAAACGAAAGGGACATCTATGCCCCCAAGATCTTAAGATCCGGTGTTTTCCACGTGTAGATTCTCTTGGGGGGGCCATCATTCAACGCGCTGCCTTGCGTAATTTCCTCTTCAGCCTGCGCAGCAGAAAATGAGAACATGAGGTATATCCTTGTTAGGTAGCCTTAACTCTTTATTTGAAAAAAACGCTGATGAAAAAGCCCCACTTAGATTCATGGAATATCCCCATTGGATTATATATATATATATGAAATTAGACGGCTTATGAATATGGATTAGAAAATACTACTAAGATATACTCAGTGGGACACCTATGGCCCAAACAGCCTGCTTTGAGCCGATCCGTTGCAGTTCCCGTAGATGTCGATGACCTGAAAAAAAAACGGCTGTTAAGCAACGCGCCAATAGCAGTAGGGGGGTAGGGGTTCCAACCAACATTCTGTACATATTAAGCTGTATATATATATATGTGTGTATATACATATATATATATACATATACATATACATATAATATCATATATATATATATTATATATATTATATATATGTTATTTTATATATATATAATAACTTGGGTTGTAAGCCATTTAACTGCGATATACTGCGATTATGCTACGTAATTATGTTGGTTATAACCCCCTTTTTTGGACCCAGATTGTACATATACATATACATATAATATCATATATATATATTATATAATATCTTGGGTTCTAAGCCATTTAACTGCGATATACTGCGATTATGCTACGTAATTATGTTGGTTATAACCCCCTTTTTTGACCCAGATTAAGCCATATAGAAGCCACCATAGAAAACTGAGCTTATGACGAAGCTGCGTGCATAACTGGAAGGGTGACTCCAAGTGTAGATCCATGTCCCAAAGAATTCCGAAACTGCCCAATGGATACACGGCTGCCCATATCTTTGTTTATTTGTAAATATATCACAGTATGTATAATTGTGATTAATTGTGTGTACTGGAAAAGTGACTTTCAAAACAAAAGTGCTTCCGCGCAGTTTGATGATGAGTTCCAGTCTGTCCTATCTTTTAGGGAACCTCAATTATCTTGTGCAATGGTATATTCATATATATATATCTTCTATCGCACCACCTCCGTCACGGCGTTTTCGCGTGGCGCGGCACGACGCGATTCACCGGGTCTGGACGGGGTGGGAAACTGGCACCGACAGATGGTGCCTGGCTCTCAAACCAGTTTCAGTTTTTTTTTTCGGGTCACGAAAAATTCCGCTGCAGGTCTTGCAGATGAACAAGTCTGGGCATCTATTTTCCAGCTGCATCCCTCAAGGCAGCAACCTTGAGTCGGGATGTTCAACCCTCTGTTGATCTGAAATCTTGGTACAGTAAGCAGTACAGATGGTGTCCAACAAGTCATGGGTCCATGCTCAACCTGGCAACCTGAAGTGGTTCATCACTTTAAGACCTGCAGAGAAAATGTTTGTGGGAAAAAGTCAGTGGAAGAGACGGAAATCCCACTGCTGCATGGCTACTAGAGATGTCGGGGTACTCATGATATTGCACACCTCTTTACCGTCCTTAACCGTCTCAAGTGATCCAGGGTTATACACCCGTGAAAACTAATGTGGAATCTGGGACAATGACGTTCCTAGTCATCTTCCACTGGCACACGGATAAGCTGTGAGCTTCAAAAAGTTCTTCTGCGGGAAGCTGAACTGCCGTCACCCCTTCCCGTGTCGATGTCTGAGTCGCTGGAGAAGCACTTGCTGATGCAGCTAGTGCAGCTGATGCCAACTCCATTTCTACGCATTCATACAGAAGTACTTGAATGATCTCGCATTTGTGTGGGCACGCCAATAACTATAGAAGTGGTTCGCACCCGCGGTTGCAACTGAGATCATCGGCTCATCTATTGGATGTCAGTTTTCTACGGATGCTCGCAAGCAGGTTTCGGTGATCATCTATAGAATTTACACCTACTGGATGCACATCTCCGTGGACTGAACACACTCCCCTCAGAATGGACCAAGCCTCCAAGAATTACCCTAGATTCACAAAAAGAAGTCATTGAACAGAATCCCCAGGATCTGCAACTCACGGTGTTTGCTCCAGCGCCGTGATATCCCGTGATTGGGTCGAAAAAGGGTCACGGCCATTTTTTTCACCAAACTCAAAGCAGTTTCCCGCCTTTATCTCGCTCTTGGCGTTCCTTTAAGCGCATGCGTTTCGTTAACTCGCGAGAACCTTTCAGAAACGTCAGGCAATCCTGGAAGTCCTGCGACAGACGTTGAAAATGAGACCAAACCCCTCAAATTCATGGGGATTCATGGTGGTTTAACCAATAAACTTGGGGAAAATTGTGGATCCAAATAGCTAAAGGGATGCTGACATGATGCGCAGTTGTGATGGAATGATGGCCACATGGTCAAATTGGCAGTGCCCAGTTCAGTCACAAAGCAATTGGTCATCCCCATAAACCAATTCTCGCAACCCTAGCCATCAAGCAACGCTTCGGGGTATTGCCCAAATGATGGCCAAATCATGGTCGTTCACGTCATGTAAAAGACTCGATCTTTAGTTGCACAAACCTGTTCCTATATCATCCTATATTTTCAGTTCTGATGGATGCGTGAGAAACCAAAGCAACACACCGAAAAGCCTGAGCCCTCGTTCCCAATCCTGCGGTTGCTGTTCATTCACATCGAGCAGGAAGTATCCTGGTCATTGGTTGAATCATAAAAGTACCACCAATATGAGCACTTAAGAACACCATCGGTGTAGGTTCTATCCAATTACACTGACTGGTGTCAAGCCCCGACGGCGGTAATGTCCACATTTTTCGGGTAAAATCCGCCTAGCTTTTTGTTGATAAGAACTAGGATCCTCACGTTTGTTGCTTTGAATCCCCGTTTTGGTTGATTTTTGTTCCACTTTATGGTGGCGGAATCAACATTTGTAAGTCAAATCCCCATGGAATGGTAACAAAGCCTGTTTGCGAACCAAATATGCCAATATCATATCAGTTCTCTCCATCTTTAAGGGTGTTGCTCACTGGTTAAAATTCCCCATTTTGATCAATTTTTAGTGCCTCAGCTCGCGACTGTCGTCACTTTTAAGACATTTTGTCTGGGGGAATTGAAAAGGTTCAAAAACAAAACTTTGCTTTCATAGGCAATAGCAACATCATCATCATCATCATCAGCAGCGTAGCATGTCGTATGTGTGGAAGTGAAGGAAACCTACAGCAGCGTAGCATGACGTATGTGTGGAGGTGCAAGAGAACCTACAGCAGCGTTGCATGACGTATCTTTGGAAGTGCAAGAGAACCTACAGCAGCGTAGCCTGACCTATGTGTGGAAGTGCAAGACAACCTACAGCAGTGTAGCATGACGTATGTGTTGAAGTGCAAGAGAACCTACAGCAGCGTAGCATGACCTATGTGTGGAAGCGCAAGAGAACCTACAGCAGCGTAGCATGACGTATGTGTGGAAGTGCAAGAGAACCTACAGCAGCGTAGCATGACTTATGTGTGCAAGTGCAAGAGAACCTACAGCAGCATAGCATGACGTATGTGTGGAAGTGCAAGCGAACCTACAACAGCGTTGCATGACGTGTCTGTGGATATAAATGAAGTGTAAGAGAGCGTACAGTAATGTTGCATCACGTATGTGCGGACGTGCCAATGACGATATTATCCCCCCACCCCCC